CAAATAAGACAGTCTGGTACTCCCATCTCTTTAAGAACTTGCCACAAGGCTTTGGCATAGTCAAAGAAGCAGTAGATGTTTTTCTGGAACTCCCTAGCTTTCCAGTATATGCTGGCAATTTGATCTCTAGTTCTTCTTCCTCTGTGACACCCCACTTGTACTTCTGATAATTCTCAGTTCACGTACTGCTGAAGCCTAGCTTGTATGATTTTGAGCATAACTTTGCTGGCATGTGAAATGAGCACAATGGTACAGTAGTTTGATGGGAATGTAAGCTGACCTTTTCCAGTCCTGGGGCCACTGCTGAGTTTTCCAAATTTGCTGGCATACTGAGTGTAGCACTTTTACTGCATTGTCTTTTAAGATTTTGAATAGCTCAGCTGGAATACTGTCTCCTTCACTAGCTTTGTCGTTGCTCAGACTTCCTAAGGCCCATTTGACTTCACACTCCAGGATGTTTGGCTCAACATCAGTGACCACCCCATCACGGTTATCAGAAATGTTAAGCTCTTTCTTGTATAGTTCTTGTGTGTAATCTTGCCATCTTAATCTCTTCTGCCTCTTTAACATGCCCATCTTTGCATAAAACATTCCCTTCATATCTCCAATTTTCTTGAAGAGATCTCTAGAATTTTCGCATTGTATTGTTTTCCTCTATTTCTCTACACTGTTCATTTAAGAAGGCTTCCTTATCTCTTCTACCTGTTCCCTGGCATTCTGCATTCAGTTGGCTGTATCTTTCCCTTTTGCTTCCTTTCTTTCCACAGCTATTTGTAAAGTCTCCTCAGATAGCCATTTTGTTTTCTTGCAGTTCTATTTCTTTGAGATGGTTTTAGTTGCTACCTCCTGTCCAATGTTGTGCACCTCCATGCATACTTCTTCAGGCACTGTGTATCAGATCTAATCCCTTAAATATATGTGTCACCTCCTTGGAACCCGAGTGGCCTAGTGCTCTCCCATACTTTCTTCAATTTGAGCCTGAATTTTGCAATAAGAAGCTCATGATCTGAGCCACAGTCAGCTCTAGGTCTTGTTTTCACTGACTGGATAGAGCTTCTCCATCTTGGGGTGCAGAACACATAATCAATCTGATTTCAGTGTTGACCATCTGGTGATGTCCATGTGTAGAGTTGTCTGTTTGCAAAGACCAGCATGTTCGCTTGCCAAAACTCTGCTAGCCTTTGCCCTGCTTCATTTTGTACTCCAAGGCCAAACTTGCCTGTAATTCTGGTTATCTTTTGACTTCCTACTTTAGCATTCCAATCCCCCATGATGATAAGGGCATCATTTTTGGTGTTATTTTTAGAAGTTGCTGTAGGTCTTCACAGAACTGATCAACCTCAGTCTCTTTGGCATCAGACTTGGACTATTGTGATGTTGAATGGCTTGTCTTGGATTCAAACTGAGATCATTCTATCATTTTGGGGATTGTACCCCAGTATTGCTTTCCCTACTCTTTTATTGACTTTGAAGGCTACTCCATTTCTTCTGAGGGATTCTTGCCCACAGCACTATACCTGCTGGTCATCTGAATTAAATTTACCCATTCCTATCCATTTTAGTACATTGATTCTCAAGATGTGGATACTCAGTCTTGCCATCTCATGTTTGACCACGTTCAGCCTACCTTAATTAATAGATCTTACATTCCATGTTCCTATACAGTATTGTTCTTTGCAGCATTGGACTTTCCTTCCATCACCAGATACATCCACAACTGAGTGTCCTTTCAGCATTGATGTTGTCTCTTCATTCTTTCTGGCACTATTTCAACTATTAAAAATAGTTATCCTTGCTTTGAAATGCAAGAAGATGACCCAGATAGCCCCATCAAGAGCATCTGGATCAAAACAAATGTGTCAAGGAAAAAGAGGGACATTATAGTCAGAGTCTACAAGCCACCACCCAATCAAACATTTGTTAAGCAAACTGCCAGTATTTCAAGGATGTGTGATGTGGTAGCAATGGGGGACTTCAATTAGTGAGGTATCAGTTGGGAGACAAATTTTGATGAAAGTGTCATCAAAGGAAATTCTTGTCATGCATGATTGATACCTTTCTTCTGCAGAAAGTAGAGGTCAGAATTAGAGGATCAGCTATCCCCAGCTTAATACTGAGTAATGAGAATGACTTAGTGGATAAAGTGAAAGTTACAGGAACTCTGCAGAAATGTGACCATGACAAACATGAATTCTTGATTTTAAAGGAAGAAAAATGAAGCATAGCCATACACTTACTTCAGATTTTCTGAAAGCTGATTTTAATAAACTCAGGACAATGATAAGTAAGGTCCTGTGGCAAGTGATCCAAAGAGGAAAAAAGGAGTCCATGATGGGTGGGAGTTTATAAAAAATTAAATTTTGAAGGCACAATTATGAACAATGCCAACAAAAACAAAAGTTAGTTAATGACAAAATAAATCAATATGGCTTCACAAAAAAACTCTGAGCTGAGCTAAGAACAAAAAAGGACGCATACAGGAAGTGGAAGAAAGGCCAGGTTGCAAAAGAAGAATGCAGACAGGCAGCACAGAAGTACAGGAAGGACATCAGGAAGGCTGAGAATATGCTGACATTAGCAAGGGACACGAAAAACAAAAAATACTTTGTTTCAGGTCTGTTCACAGTAAACAACAGAGAAAAGAAATGGTGGTTCAAATTCTCAGTGAGGAGGGAAAATTAATAACAGATAAGCAAGAAAAGGCCAAAGTGTTCAATTCCTAATTTGGCCCAGTCAATTTCAAAAAGGAGGTCAATTATCTTGCTGGCAGAAATTCACTATAAACTGAAGAGTCAGGACTGTAGCATGAGATTAATAAACAAATGGTCATGGAGCACCTAATTTCCTTGAAGGAGTACGAATCTCTAGGACTTGATGAACTCCATCCTAGAGTCATAAAGGAACTGGCAGAAGAAATCTCAGAATCACCCTCTATTATCTCTGAAAAATCATAGAGGACAAGGAAAGTTCCAGATGACTTGAGAAAGGCTAATGTTGTTCCCATTTTCAAGAAAGAAAAAATAGTAGAACCTAGTAACTGCAGGCCACTCAGTCTGACATCAATCTATGGGGAAATCCTGGTGCAGTTAATAAAGAAACCAGTCTGTAAACACTATGAAGACGATGGAGTAATTGCTAGACACCACCATGGATTTATCAAGAACAAGACTTGCCAGAGTAATCTGGTCTTTTTTTATTAGGTAACCTCACTGGTAGGAATATTGTGGACATTAATATTTCAGGAAAGCTTTTTGACAGAGTGCCCATGATCTTCTGACAGAAAAATTAACTACAAGTGGGCTAAATGCAATGATGATCAGGTGGCTTCATAGTTGGTTACAGGCTTCGACTCAGAGGGTGTTTCTGAATGGTATTATCTCAGAATTGGGAGAGGTAACAAGTAGTTACTCTTTGGGAATATTCATCCACAGAATAATATCTCAAATATTCAAGTTAAATGTGAATTAAGATAAATATTGTATCATGGATTATGTATATTTTAAATGAGATTCCTTTAGTTAGGTCTGGCAAGTATTTACAAAATGTAATGTTAGTTTTGGAAATGTTTATGTAGTTCTGTTGCACTCTGAATATTTTTGAAAAAGCTGATCAAAGAGAGAGAATTTAGTATCCATGATCTTGCTTTATACCATAAGGATTATTTGCTGATCTGTAATACATTCTTGTCTTTTTTGTTTAGATTAAACTTTAATGTCCACCCCTGAACATTTTTAGAATCTTCATGTATGGATGCTCTCTGCAAATAGCTTGCATTGACTCTTAATATACCAAAACAGATAGGGTACCTCCTACTGTTATGACAGCAAGAGAGATGTGGTGCACAGCATCACATCAATTAAGAGTTTGATCTATTTTTTCATGCAAAACTAACTATGATTTAAAAAATGTTTGTCTGGTAGAATTGGACAGATCAGCTGATTTTTATTTTGGATCAGGTAGTGCATGCTATTAATAACTCTCTGCCATTTTCTGCTTTGCATGCGCAATATGATTTGTGAACTATGGCTTAATGGACATACAGGCAATAGAAACATTAGCTAGAATATAGGTGGTCCTGCTTCTTTTGTAGCTTCAGAGTTGCCATCCTTATTAGAAGTTATCAGTAACTAAATGATATTAGTTATTATCAGTAACTAAATGATACACTGGACCTTAAGCAAGGATGGAACTCCGAATTGCATTGTTCTGTCTTATCTAATCAATGAATAATTGTGTTGACATCCATCTCAGAAGGGTCAATGGATCTTATTCAGCAAAAATGTGTGCTCTGTGTATATTTTTAAGAAAGGGCTTGCAGAAATTGGAGGTATAATATAGCTAATGGTTTCCCTATCCCTATGTTTGACAAAGTCCAGTTGCTACCTCTGCTTAGGAGAAGGTAATAATCTTTGTGTTACAAAGATCCTTAAAGCAGTTTAATATTTACTGATGTACATTTTCTCCTTAATTATCTTCTTGGAATTTAAGGGAAGGTCAAAGACTATAGATTTTCTGTGCCTCTTTGACAGTAAGACCAATACTGCCATACTGGAAGACAAATAACCGCTTCCAATAATGCAATGGATTAAGGACTCCACTGTGCTTTTAGCTGTTGAATGGGTGATCCCTAAGCATAACTTAGTAATGAATAAATACATAAGGCTTTGGAAAAGCACATGCGTAATTTTTGTTGTGGATAATTGAATAACTTGCTCTCTACCCTATCCCCAGCTCTCTCTATATAGTCATATATTTCATACATATCCATTGTAATTGATCCATTCAAATTAATGTTCTCTTTTTTCTTTTTGTTTGATTCTGAATAAAAAAATGAAAAACATGAACCAAATCAAGTTCTCCCTCATTCTTATTAGTGAGAACTTGAGTCTTGCACGCATTCCTCTATATGCAGACTTTGTTTTGTCCCAGGAAATATTTCAAAGCAGACTTCTGATGACATACAGCACCAGTAATCACTGCTGCTCTTTTGCCCACTTCAGTGTCTGCCGTGCTCGAAAATGGGAATGCACAGAAAATGTCTGTGATGGTACCTGCTCGGTCATTGGCAAAGCCCATTACCTGACCTTTGATGGGTTGAAATACAGATTTCCAGGCAACTGTCAGTATGTGCTAGTTCAGGTAAGAGTTTGCAGGATACTGAATAGCAAGTGAGGAAGAGGCCAACAACAAGTTGTGCTTACCAACTTGTCACCTGGTAAGTATATTTTAATCTGGCAAGAGATGGGTGGGGGCTCTTTTCTGACTTTATCATCAGCTTTAGGGGCACTCAGAAAGCAAAACAACGTGATGTGCATGCATCCAGCATGTGAAGGATAGATTGGAGTGTCTTGTTCTCTCCAGGGGTCACCATCCACTTCTGGTGATCAATGTGGACACAAATGACGTAGCCAGGCAAGGCATCGGCAGGATCACCAGGGTCTTTGAGGCCTTGGGGAAGAAACTCAGGGACCTAAAGGCCCAAGTGGCCTTTTCATCTATCTGACCGGTCTGGGGATTTGGGTCAGGCAGGGATAGGAGGGTTGCTGAGGTAAACAACTGGCTTAGGGTATGGTGCCAGAAGGAACACTTTGGGCTCCTCAACCACGGCATCCAGTTTCTTGCCAAAGGACTTCTGGCAAGGGACAGGTTGCACCTAACCAGGATGGGGAAGAAGTACTTTGGAGATGCTCTAGCAAGCTTTGTCCGGAAGACTTTAAAATGAACCGGGGGGGGGGGGAGTTGGTTCAGGCCCTCCAGAAAATTGTCTGCACTGGACAAGTGTGGGGAGAGTATCCGGGCTCTGGGACCAGGGTTTTAGAGGTACTGCAGGGACTGACAGGACTCCTACAAAAACAGGCCAGATATCAGGGAAGATGGGAGGAAGGAGGAGGCTGAGAACTCCAAAGAAAAAGAAAGGAAGCTGTGGGAAGGAGTTGAGGTGCATGTACACCAATGCTAGGAGCATGGGTAATAAGCAGGGAGAGCTTGCAGCTCTCCTGGAAATAGGAGGGTATGACCTGGTGGGAATCACAGAAACTTGGTGGGATAAAAGGCAAGACTGGAATGTAAACATACAGGGGTATCACCTGTTTAGAAAGGACAGGAAGGGAAAGAGGGGTGGAGCATAGCTTCATATGTGGGGGAGGGATAGGATGCAGTGAGATAGAATGCAGCATATATGGGGATGCGGTAGAGGCAGTGTGGGTGAAACTTAGGGGTTTTGACAGGGAAAGAGAACTGACAGTGGGGGTATGTTATCACCCTCCAGGTCAACTTGAAACCCTGGACAATGTCCTGACAGAACAGATTCCAAGGATATCTTGGGGGAGGGACACAGTAATTATGGGAGATTTCAGTCTCCTGGATATCAGTTGGGAGACTAACTCAGTGGTGACAGCCAAGTCACATTGCTTCCTAGAAGCTATAGAGAGAGAGTTTTTCACACAGGGGGTCCAAGAGGGGGGGGGGGGGGGGGGCATCCTTGACTTGGTCTTGAGTAACAGGGAGGAGCTGATAGACGAAGTACAGATTAGGAGAGCTTCGGATGCGAGTGATCATTCCATCCTTTTCTTTGAGATCAGGGGAATGCGGGCATGCACCAGGTCGAGCACTAGAAGCTGGGACTTCAAGAGGGCCAACTGAAGGCCAGACTGGGGAAAGTCTCCTGGGATAGGTTATTGGAAGGCAAGGGAGTTCAGGAGGGGTGGATAGCACTCAAAAGGGAGGTTTTGGAGGCGCAAGCGTTGATGATACCACAAGTCAGTAAGGTGGGGAGGCTAAGGAGAGCGCCTCCATGGATGCGAAAGGTGGTGGTTAGAGGGATTAGATGCAAGAGGAACCTCCGTAGGAAATGGGTACTGGGGTAAATAGACAAAAGGGTATACCGGGAGGAGGAGGCCTGTTGCAGAAGGGTTCTTTGCAAGGCTAAGTCTGATTACAAGCTGAGACTTGCCAAGAATATCAAGAGCAATAAAAAGGGCTTCTTTCAGCATGTAAATAAAAAGAGGAAGGGGAGACAAGTGGTGGGACCACTAAATAAGGAGAAAGGAGATCCAGTGACTGATACGAGGGAACAGACACAGATACTAAATGACTATTTTGCCTCTGTGTTCTCCCCAAAGCAGGACGGAGGAGAACCACATAGGAGATTAGATGAGGCCGGGGACTTAGGGGCACAGATTAGAGTCACCCCCCCTAGAAGTCGAGGGGATCCTCAGGGCATTGGACATTACAAAGGCACCAGGCCCTGATGGGTTACACCCAAGAGTACTTCGAGAGTTGGCAGGGGTTCTCTCACACCCGCTGGCCTCCATTTTTGAGGCCTCATGGAGAACGGATGAAGTTCCAGAGGACTGGAGGGTGGCATAGTAGAAGGGACATGGGGAATTACAGACCTGTTAGCCTCATGTCCATTGTAGGAAAAACAATGGAAAGGCTCATAATAGCAAGAGATGTAGTGATGCTAGATAGGGAAGGAAGGCTGGCGACCACACAACACAGTTTCCGCAAAAACAGGTCATGCCAGACAAACCTTGTGGAATTCTACAACAAGGTTTCAGTATGGCTAGATGGAGGGGATGCATTGGATGTGGTTTACCTGGATTTCAGCAAGGCCTTTGACAAAGTGCCCCATGATATCCTGGTTGAGAAACTGAGGGGTTTTGGGATATAGGAATGCACTGTCCGATGCATTAGGGCATGGTTGACTGGCCAAAAGCAGAGGGTAACCATTAGTGGGGAATCATCAGGATGGCAGCCAGTGACAAGCGGGGTCCCTAGGGCTCTGTCCTGGGGACGATCCTGTTTAATCTTTTCATCAGTGATATGGAAGAAGGGGTGAACAGTCTGCCGATCAAATTCTCAAACGATACTAAAACTGGGCAGTGGCCACCTCTCAGGTGTCCGAGAGGTGGAATCTCCCTGTAACCCAACATGTTTCCCATTATGTAAATTCCCTTTAATTTAGTGGGATTACTTTATATATAACTGCAGACAGGACTGAAAAACTTTTGATACTTGTATTTTGAATTGCTGAGCCCTACAGCAAGTTAGGCTTGGGTCAAGGAAATATATGTTCAGATTTCCATCTAGGGCAATGTGTGTCATCTACTGTAACCCTGTGGTACAATCAAATATTGTAAGGGCATGCACACTAGATATTTCCTATGAAATTAGAAAAGAATGTGCGATAGACCTAAATGATTGGTCTTTTTTACTTCATTCTTACAGTCACACACATTGCAGCAATTTAGGACTGTGCCACAGGGAACCAAACTCCACATTCCTGTTGAGGTGTATGAATAGAACTTCAGTGGGACTTGCTGTTAAATAAGCATGGATAAGACCAGGGTTTTAATGAGGAAGGTCAGGATGCAAGCCAAAATATCTTAGAGATTATTGTTCCTAAATGCTAAAATATACAATCTGTGTGCATGTTTCAAACATCTCGTATCAATGTCCACATTTTTAAAGGATTATTGTGATGACAATGATGGTGAATTGGGAACCTTTCGGATACTCATTGCCAATGAGGGATGCAGCTACACTGGAGAGATGTGCACTAAAAGGATTACTGTTCTGTTTGATACTGGAGAGATTGAGCTGTACAATGGAGATGTAAGTACAACCCCCCTTTACTGAAACACTAGTGTGGAGTAACAAGCGTTCTAATGCTGTCAGACAAGTTTGAATGAGTACTTCATACTTAGGCCACACCAGCTTTCAGTACCATGCTCCATTCCTAGTTCTGCAGGGATGTTAGGGTACCTAAACCAGGTTTACAAGATAAAAGAGAATTTGGGTACTGCAAAACCAGAACCAGAGCTCCTCAATACTAGCTTAAGAACCTGTTTTTCATGTTGGAGGATGTGGTTCAGTATTTTTTTAAAGATTAGTATCTTATATAAACATATGTGAGAATATTTGTTTAAAATGGTAATACATCACCTTTCATTACCAAATCCCAGGATGGTGTACACAATTCATTAAAAGAACAATTAAAATAAAACACAGTATGCACGTTAAAAGCCATTTGTTATTTATTAAACTTTCTAAGCCATTTGTTGTTTGTTTTGAGCAGCCATTTGTTTGTTTGTTTGTTTGTTTGACTGCATTTCCCTCACATACCAGTTCAACTACTAGTTGAGCCCCTTCAGTGTTGTTTTCAGACCTTAGGGTTTTTTAGAACACCCAGAAGCAAAAAATATTGAAGGAACACTTCAGGGTCCATGATAAGTTCTTTGATTTTCTTAGTATGCAATCATACCCAGATTTCACACAAATGGAATTAGAGTTATGAGTTTTCAAGGAAATGGGAATTTAATATCTCCCAGGAGATATTAGAGGCCAAAACCCTTTTTATTTTCCCAATATTTTAAAGTGTTAAAGTGTTTTAAGCTGGAGTTTTATTTGAATTTGTTGCCTGATGCTGTACTTTTACTTCATTGTACTACCATCCTGGGACTTTTAGTGAAGGACAGTATATAAAAGCTTTAAATAAATAAATAAATTCCAAAATGATCAAATAAAATGTCCCAAAAACATATGCAGAATGACTTTACTTCAGAAATTCTTACATATGCAATTGGGGTGGGGGGTGGGGGGGTGACAATCTTCTGCAGTAGAAATAAGAGTTGAATGCTGCTACGTCTTAGTTTATAAATCATGGACAGCATTGCTTTTGGGATCTGTCCCTCTAAGCTTTCATGAGCTTCTCTTGTGCTTGGCCCAGGCTTCCAAAGTTAGTCAAGTGGAGAGGAAGTCTGTGGATGCTTGAGGAGCCCCAGTTACACAACTAGAAACCTTCTTTTGCATTAGCAGCTTCCCAAAACATTGCAGCGGCTGATGGAAAAAAGATTCTGCTTGTGCAGTGGTTGGAGTGCTTTCCTGGCAAGCCTCTCACAACCAAGCTTCCCACAACAAGGCTGTTTCAGTGCCAGGAGCAGCCACCATTTGAGCAGCTGTTCCTCCAGTATGAGAGCAGTGCTGGAGGGCTGCTTTTCTGGTGAGCCTTTTGCAAGAGCAAGTCTCATGACCAGCCTTCTTTGGTGCCAGGAGCAGCCACCACCAAGGGGCTCCTCCTCAAGCATGAGAGTGGTTTTGCTTGCTCCACTCATGAAGTTTGATTCCCTGTGAGTGCTGAGTGAGCTCACCAGGAACTTGGACTCTAACTGCCACAAAGCATACTGAAGTCCAAGGACCTGAGCCCAGGGAATCCAATGGTTTCCCATCTTTGGACAGATTCCTCATATATCCCTAATTAACTGTAACCCAAACTAAACAGCCATCTAAGTGGGATGGTATAAATTGGTGTCCTGCAACAGCAGGGAGTTGGACCTGATGGTCTTCATGGCCTCTTCCAACTCCAGTATTGTATGATTCTATTCTATGATTCCATGCTGATAAAACCCTATACATTTAAAAATGCATAAAGGGTGTTTTTGTTGACCACTCACTTTAGTTGCCCAATCTAGGCTATTTCAAGGTGTGTGATATGCACAAGGAACTAGGTTTTTCTCTTCCCAACCCTAATCTGAGGCTTAATGTTAACACCAGCACCCAGAAACTATCCCTTTACATTTAGGCAATTTGCAGAAAAGGAGCACTCAGAGTATTCTTGTTGACCAATCATGCTGTCTATCCAACTGGAGCTAGTTCCAGGCTACTAAATATTCAGAGGGATCCAGGTTTTCCAAATCCTAATCCAAACACTAATACCCAGATATAGTCACTTTACATTCAGGTAACATTCACAAAAGCAGAAGTCATTGCATTCTTGTTGACACAAGACATGCTCTTTTTTAATCTTTACCCTAATATCTTGCTTAATCGTAACCCTGAATCCTCATTCCTATCTATTCAGACAACATGTGGAAAGGCAGCTGTCACAGTGTTCTTGATCACCACTCATTCCTTCTGCACAAGTGAGGTTGTTCCTAGGCCCCTAGACATGCATAGGAAACTGGGTTTTCTGAACCCAAACCCTAACCCTAACCTGAATGTTAACTTTATCCTTAACACTTGTGCTTTTCTGACTCTCTGCAGTACAAGATGAGACAACTGATGGACTGTAGGGTGGGTTACAATATTCTAATTTTATTACTTTCTAATCAAATCTGTACACGTTAGCACCCAAAACTGTGTGATTTGTGCAGAATCAGCAAATTTGCTCTGCTTATGATTCTGTGCAAATTAACTGATTCTGTACAAAACCTCGTTTTTTAAGGCATGCGTTGTGCAAATTTCATTAGTGGTAAAAAAAAAAGTGCAAATCATAGCCTGTCTTTGAGATAGAAGTCCGGAGGAACCCCTGACTAGAACTTCAGATCAGAAGTGGGCAGGAAATCCATAGACCTCAAATGAGCTGGATTTCCAGTACATCCCCAGCCACAGCTGCCTTCCAGCTCCTTTTAGAAGTATCTGTACTGATTCCAGGGGATGGTGGAGGACAGGAAGGCCAGGAGGAATGTTGTCCATGGGGTCACAATGGGTTGGACATGACTTCACAACTAGCAACAAGAACTACTGAAACCTTCTGTTATATGTAATACTTTTTACGAGTCAAGGACCAAGCTGAAATATTCATCACATTGTTTCTCAACTGTTCTGGGTTGAAGGTGTAGTAAATATGGCTAATAAAAGAAGAATAGATTTTGAACTGAAGGTTGAAATCAATTGTTTCTGGGTGGGGCATACCATTTGGAGAGAAAGAGACAGTGGGTTTTCCATTTTATTGCTTTTAACCAAAAAATGTTTTCCACTACTTCAAGGGTTAATGGAGCTACAGTCAGCAGCTCAGTAACATTCCTGACTGTTTTCAGAATGCCCCATGCATTTGTCTCATTTCCAATTGCACACATTTATTTATTAGACTGAATGATTCCAAATTTAGTCTATAGAGGAAATTTATGCAAATGAGAAAATGTATCTATATTTGGGGAGAGCTGTGTAAATCTCCTGGTCAATTACTGCCCAATTTGCACAAATTTACCATTGTACAGAGTACCATTCTCAAATGAGAATTAGGCACAAGATGAACAGGAAAGAAACTGGGAAACCCTCCATGGCTTCCTCTCTCCCACACTGCTACACCCCCTGGAAAGAATAGATTTTTCCCTCTCGAAAATGCTGGAAAAAATGGTTTTGGCCAAATGCTATTTTAGAAAGAAGGAATGAGTGGCTGCTGTAAACCAAGCAGGCTGAATTCCAGTTTTAGAGATGTACAGCCACCCTGTTTGCTGGCCTGCTCTTCAGTTTCGTTCAGTTCAGTTCAGTACTATCCAATAACAAAAATCACAACAAGCATTAAAGTATAAAAATATTAACATACAAAATTTAAAAACAGTTCTAAAATGCTTAAAAATCAAATTCCAATATAACTCTGGGAGATGGGAAACAATGGCATTAACATCCCATCATATTTCTTCAAAAGTCTGATAACAGAGGACAGATTTAACGCCATGCCAAAATGATGGCCATGTTGGCACCAGGCAAACTTTAGTGGGGAGGTCATTCCACAATTAGTAGAGAGGGCACCAAGTAGGCCCTCTCCCTTACTCTCTCCCACCAACTGTCCCTTGGAGAAGGCCCTTGTAGTAGGGCCTCAGATGATAATCAGAATATACAGAATACATAGAATATAGGAGGGCATCAGATGATGATCAAGGTATACAGATCACAGAGAAGTCATGTTAGAATGTTTGATGTGAAGCAGGAAAAAAGTCAACCTCACTTTTATGTTTGGTTAGTTCATAAATTTCCAGTAACAAGCACTAACCTATCTCTGAACTGTATCCTTACTGGTCCAGAAAGATTATTTAAACTAAACTTGAACTGAAGATAATTAAAGAGAGGAGTCTTTATTTTAAAAAAACAATCCCCCACCAAAAAAATCACATCATTTTTCTTCACAGAGTTTGTGGATGTTTGCAAATAATGAATATGTTGCTGCACACTCAGTGGAGCAAAGAGAATTTTGCTGGATGTTGTGGGTAGTTTCATGAGCTACATATGCTTTATATGTGGGACATGCAGGATTGTACCCAGTATCATCAGAGCTATGATCTAGTGAGCCTAACAATCATGAGAGAGCCAAGAGTTTCCTCAGCATGACTTCTCCCTTGAAGGAGCTTTTCCCTTTTGTTCAATATCTGGATGACATATAGAAATTCTTGGAAAATGGGAACCTTTATTTATTTTCACTCTTTCAAAAACCTCCTTTCTCTTGAATGAGAAAATCACCTATTTCAGCTTCCTTTTTGTGATCAGGTTTTTCAATTCAGAAAGTCTTTGACCAGGCTGCTTGAGGTCTGTACACTCTGGCATGGAACCTTGATGCCTATGGCCACTGTCATGACCACTGAAGTCTTTTTTGCACTGAAGGAAAAAAATGTATCAGGGACCCTACTGGGAATGCTGAAGCCTCTGGATTTCTTCTTTGAACTAAGGACAGTAACAGTCTGATGGGAGGAAAAGAGAGAGGAGCTGCCTCTGAGCAAGCCAGTGCTGCCCTTTCCTCAGGTTTTTACCCCATTTGGCATCTGCCTAAGGTCCAAGTCACACCTGAGCATCACAATGTCCCAGGAAAGCTTAGAAGCAGCACCAAGTGGGCCACTGTT